TAAAAGTTAAATATCTCCCTCTAGGCAAGCCAATGGCAGCTAATATTATAACCTTGTTAGTTTGGCGTTGAGAGCTTCCATTTGACCCGAACATATGCCACTTTTTCGCTCAACAATATACACACCTCCATTGTAAGATGATACGTCAAAAATTGTACATATAGGTGACTAATTATGTGTACTTGATGATCAATGATCGATAATAGTAAGGTTATAGAGAATCAAGATGGTTGTTGAATATCTCTTTTGATTCAAAGTATGCAAGTTGCTTGAAAAAGTCGTTTTGAAAAATTAAAATCAAACAGTATCGCTAGTAGAGCGTTTATACATTTCTATCTATAGATTTATTCAGTAATATTGATAATATCATATATCATTTGTAATTCATTAAACGCTAATAGTGATGATTGTAATTCAAATATATCTGTATTACTTTTGAGTATTGTATCAAAACTTAACACAAGCACATACTACCTTTATCTAATGCATCATTTAGACTAATAACACACACGTATGCAACACTTTATCACACTATTTAAAAATTCATATATATATATATATATATATATGACGATTATTATAAAGATGATCATTTGATAGATATGTATATGAGTCTTGACTTGCCCTCTCTTAATTATGATCATATTCATTTCATTGACATATCACATTGGACAGGTAAAAGTTCATGGATAAACATTGATTATGCAATTTTTGCATCGGAAACGAAATTCTACTGCTGATTATGAACAAAATGTAATCTGACTCAATGGGTTATAGGTATTAAAAGTAGCACACAATTGTATCATACATTGACATTCTCTGCAGTTCATGTAGATATTTCATTTCAACATAAATATGTTTTTATATGATCGAAGTACAAAAGAAAAATTGTATAGAAAACCACTATATTGGCTTATACATGTATATGATAAAAGAAGAAGAAAGATTTTGAATTTAAATGAACTGATATCAGTCAAGAAATTTTCTAAATAAGTGAGAGTATCTACTAATAGATAGAACGGTAATTAGGGATGTGCAGTTTCGGTGAAAACACTGAATTGCTGACAGTGACACACCGACACTGAGCGTCACTGTCTGCACTGACGCACTGACAGTGAGCGAACTGTCTGCAGTGAGGCACTGGTGGTGAGCGACCTGTCTGCAGTGATACACTGACACTGATTTGCACTGTCTGTAGGTAGACACTATCAGGTCAAAAGTGGAGCTTCACCTGGGCGGTGTTCCCTCGTCAGTGTCAGTGTGCCACTGCAGACAGTGCGGTCACTGTCAGTGCGTCACTGCAGACAGTTCGCTCATTGTCGGTGTGTCACCGCAGACAGTGCGCTCAGTGTCAGTGTCGTCAGCGTACCAGTGAACGCCAGTGCGGTTTTATCGGTGGTCAGTATACTGAAACTGCACATCCATAACGGTAATACGTTTTTATATGTACTTCAGAATGATGTCAACATGATAAAAATTTTTTTATCTTTTCTTTTCAGAGACACTATAGAGCAGTGGTAGAGCCAAAGAGCTCGAATGTTAAAGGGGAAAGCTGAGTCCCGTAGCCTAAAACCTTGGCTTCACTTCTGCTATAGAGTACTATGCTTTGAGAACATACTGTGCGATAAAATTGTCCTATTTTATCTATTGTATCAAGATTAAAACATCATGCACCATCGAATAAATGACTAGTGCGTTCAGATGCTAGCTGATGTAGTAGTGGGTGGCTGAATCTGTCGTAGCTTTTCTCCATTATCGGCAGCGGTAGCTGAAAATTTTCGAAGCTTTTCTAAGAAATTTCTTAGTTTGCTGAAATTTTGGAATGAAAGAAGGAAAAACTGATAATACAGAACATAATGATAATAAACTAGACAAGAATGTGCCTAAAAGACTAGTGCTGAATGTCGATAATTTTCAATAATTTAATGTCTTTTTTATATTCCGACAACGATGACTGGAATTTTCATCAATTATTCAGAGATGCGCTGGCGCTTCAACTGATCTGCTTACATCTTTAACAGTGTTACTGTATAAAAGATCGATTAAATAACACAGTTTATTTGTGTCAAATAAAGAATAGCAAATTTATTTGTCTAGCAACGTCGAGTGACACATCGGGGCACGACGATTAGTGTTTAGCGCGAGTTTGACTGAAGGAGTGATTAGAATGTGCTAATTTATTTAAGAAAAGTTTTGCCGCAAACATGTTATTCTGGACAAGTGATTGATAGTTTAGGTTGTATGTGTGACTATAGGTGTGCGACAAGAGACTTTTATCTTGATCTTTACATTCACATCCAAAGTTTTTAGTTTATATCATACGTTAAAAAGAAGAAAAACAATTTATCTTATCTTTTACATTAGCTAATGGTTGACAGTTTTGCCTTTTCTTTTCTTCTTTGTTTTCTCTATAATTCTTTGTTTTCTTTTTACATTTCATTCTATTTTCTTATCATATGTCGCGATATAATTACGAAGGGGTGAGAGATATTCTTTAGATACAGAGCAGAAGTCCAAAACAACATATATCTTTATCTTATTCTTGGGTTAGCACATACATCATCCAAAATGTCGAAAACTAATTCCAATCTAACACACAAAGAGTCATTGAATAATAACCTCGAGTCATCTTCGTCAAAAGATTACGATGAAGAACAACAAAAATCTAATGTTACTGATGGCATGACTTGCTCTTCTTCGGAACATCAAACACCTCTGAAAGGTTAGTTCTAGGAATGTATTCCTAAAAAACCAGTATAAATCTAGTTTAGAAACTATTTAATTATTTTGTGAACTTTTGATGATTTTGAAAGCAACATTACATCTTTCCACATGTTCAAAGTATACTAATTTCTATGTACGAGTGTTATTCGTCATCCTATCCGTGTATACTCTGGAGGAAATTACAAAAAAAAACCGATGTGGAAATCGTAACAGCTTCAAACTCATTTATTCGTTTTCGAGAATAAATTAGGTCAACCAACATGTATGAGATGAAGCGCTGATAAGTACATGAAACAATTTATTCTATTTCAATTGTTATTACACTAACATATTTCGATATCATCAATTTATGTGTATATCTATTTAGTTTTTGACACATTCTTGAGGATACATATACTGAAAAGCATGAGTTTGATTTTATTCGCTACTGTATAAACTAAAGTAGATTCGATTTATGTCATATTCATGAGAATGTTACGGACATCTTTAAAGAGTCAACTAATATGAGATGAAAGTAAATAATATAGTTTTATCTAGATAGAGTGCATGATAAGATCTTCATTATCAGGTATGATGTTGTTTAACTCTTACAAAAGAGAGTCGAACAAGTACCATGTGCTAACTACAACGAAAGATATCCTTACATTCTGCTTAAAAAAAGCTGATATAAAATCAAATTTTGCTATCGGAAAAGGCTTTATGGCACAATTTTCAAGGATTCAAATGTGAAACATCCTATCAAAATGTTTCACATGGTATACAGCAATAGATAGCCGTATCCTTCAGTCTGTTTGTCACGATCTATGGAGTAGATCGGAGGAAGAAAAGAGGAAAGAGAGGGTTGAGTAACTATTATCACTATCTATTGTAGTATTCATTTCCAATCATGTTTCATTTTTTCTTTTAAGTATACTGATAAACTATTGCACACTGTATAGGATAAGTACTCTGAGGTTGAACTAGACAGAAGACGAAGAGATAGAAAAATGAAACTATTCTATTCTTCAAAGATAATGAATGGATTATTTTTGAGTTACTACAGGTCGAATATTTGACATAAAATACTTACGTTGAAAATATGAACAGAAATTAAAAAGAATTCACCAAAATACTACGACGATTTATCAGAAAAAGAGGTCACAAAACCGTGAAACACATCAACACTTGTACTTGTATGATAAAACAAGCTTTATAAACGCATAATAAAAATTAAATACATTCAAGTGATCTCATGTATTGAAAACTACTTTTCTTTCAATGACTTAGGAGATAACGCAACAAACAGCCTACTTTTAAGAATGATCGATTGATTATGTTTTAACATAACACCACAATACTCATAGAACAGTAATCTTTACAAAATATTTGCACGTCTCTAACGAATTCAAAGTCATGATCTAGCAATAATATAATGTCGATTAAATAGATTCTCCCAAAAGACAGTATTCTTTAACAATCAATGGCTATCGAAAGTTTTGTTTATTTGCTCATATTAGTATATTAAATGATCTTGAATCAATAAGATATTTATTATATTTTTTGTTTCAGTTGATAATCGACTTCTTCAAGTGGCTGCTAAACACAATATCAGCACTATATTGGCCAATCATCTTGAATTGCTTAAAGATATTGACATAGTTGTTGTCTGTGCTGATTCGGCATCTATGAAAAAACGACTCCATGACATGAAATATAGCCGTTGGGATGAACTTCGTTTGATTGTGGAAGTAGTTCTTGAAATTGGTAGCATTTTCAACTCAAGTGGCATCGATGTGTATTTTCTTAATCGACCACCATTATTTAATGTTTCTGATCTCGGACATATCGATCAAGCATTTGCTTTTGAACCGGATGGCTATACACCGCTTGTTTCTGTTCTGAGGACGATTTTCAATTCATATAATGATAAACAAGACAATAATAAAAGAGTACTTGTCTTGGTGGCGACAGATGGAGAACCAATCAATAATGAAGGTGATAGTGATGTAGCTGCTCTGGAATATGTCATGCAGCAGGAACGTCAATCTAATACAATCTATGTAACATTTCTCGCTTGTACCGACGATGAGTCGAATATTGCCTATATGGATGAATGGGAGAATACTATGGTCAATGTCAATGTTACTGATGATTATCGAACAGAACGAGATTTTGTGCATCGAAATCGTGGTCCACATTATCCCTTCTCATTTGGTGATCACATTGCTAAGTCATTGCTCAACGCCATTGATCCAAAAATCAACGTATTCAATAACCTTGAAATTGAAAACAATACCAATGCAAACATGGATACCTTAGCAAGATCATGAAATCTTTGGACTCATATTTTCCTCAATTATTTTTAAACTTTCTTTTTAGCTAATTAATGGAGCTTATTATTATTCAAAATGTCATCATCAATATTATTTTTATGATTTCTAATGCATCATGATACGAAAAAACTATCATTTGCTAGCCATTTTAGCTAATCTTTTAGTAATAAAATTATAACTCCCTTCTAGCTTAGCATTTTATTAATAATCCAACTGCTTCATATGGTTGACAAATCAATCGACTAATAAAACAAAATCAAAAACCTCAATATTTATTTCCTTTTTCATACATTGGCTATCTAGTCTACAGATTTAAAATTCCAAGTTTGTATCCTTGAATAAAATATATATTCGCATGAATGAGCATTTGTCTCATATCATTTCGTATATTTGTTTTACGTCATCAAGTATATACCAAATGGAAGAAATGATGTGATGCAGACAACCAACAAGATACTTCAAAACCCATCAAATTTGACATTAGAATTATTTGGCTCGGTTCTGTTAGTAACACTTCGTTAAAAATTAACACTTTGATAACATCTGATTGCAATAAATTGAAAACTTACTTCACCTACAGTTACACATAATTTAACGAAAAGTTGGACTTTTCCATTTCGAATTAATGTGAGATATCTTGTACACTGAAAGATTATTTCTACCATCAAAAGAAGAGAGGAGATATCAAATATTTGGTACAACTTGTTACATATTATTTTATAGCAGACAATCAGTTATAGCATCTGACTTTTTCTGAATTCTTTTAAAATATTTTCCATGTCAAATCATTGTAGGCGACAGTTTTTGTCGAATCAATTTATATAAGACACTACCTGTCGAGAATAATCTCAACGAGAAATGTCTATCCTTAAACTTTGATAAAAAATATATTCTCATAGTACTTTACTTTTGTTCTGAACTTTCTTCTCAGAGCTTCACTTCAAAACAAAAAAAAGCAGTTGAAATTGTGTTTTCGATGTTGTATCTGACTTAACAAGTAACAAAAGTTAGAGTTTTTTCTTCGATATTTACTCGAATTTTAATCGTTATTACGGCCTTTAGATCTTTCATTAATAGTCTTACAAGTATTTTTCGACACATTAGAAAAAAAATCAAATAATTGGTGTATATCTTCAAAATAGATCATTTGTGACTGTTTTAAAAACTATTGCAAGCATGAATACGAATAAGTTAGATCGTTTCATACGTCATATTATTATTAGCATTGTCTCTCTTGCTTTCTTTTCTCAAGATTATATCAGAATGAGTGTTTATAAACTCACGAAAATAGATTTGAATGATCTGAAGTTCGTAATAACGATTGAAATTCGAATAGATGTCAAAAAAAAACGCTGAATCGTATTTTTGGCATCGAAAAAAGTCTAATTTTTTCAATTCTAACTACAACTACTACTTGTTCTACAGTGTTGATGAAGTTAGTCTTGAAGGATAAAAACTTTCAAGTCTTCTCTTTCAAATAGAAAAGAAAGATTTGGATCAAGCTTGATTAGTAATGGAGTTATATACATTTAGTAAGTAATTATGACTTTTGAAACAATCGGGATTATTACAAATCGTGGTTATATTGAAATATGTATTTATATCTACGATAGTTATTTATCTTCTCTACCTACACGTGTGCATTGATCACTCTTAACTAGAAATGAAGAAGCAAACAAACTAGCTGAGTTTATTATCTTTTTTTTTTATGAGCATGAATATCTTGGATGCATATACCACGCAATTGACTCAACAAAGAACAATTTTGCATAGGAATTGGCTGGAGCAATGATCCAACATAACTAAGCAATTAAAATCTTCATTTCATCGAATATTACAAAGAAAGTGAAATCTTTCAAAAGTTGAAGAAGATGGAAGTATTAATACAAGACAATATATCGTTCATAGAATTGTTTTTCGACGATGGCTTATTAAAAAAACCATCGCTTATCCTAAGCATTACATTAGAATCAGGTTTGAGTAGGTACGATATATATTTAGATAACTATTCACCGTGACATGTGACCCTCGGCTCTAACTATTAAAATCACGGCAGGCTATAGTTTTATATCATTTCTTCACATCCACGTCCACTCTAGACTGACATCAATACCAATTTGCCAATATTATGTATGTTCTCTTTTTGCAAAATAATACCAAAAAATTTGTGAGATCATATCTCTTTCATAGAACGTTCGAATGGTATAACAATCTTGAAAAAAAAAATAGAATGAATATTATTTGCATGCTATCTTTTTGTTGCCTTTGTATTTGCCATCGAGAAAGTTAGGATTGTAAGTGCTTCGATATTGCGCATAGCATTCAACAGCTAATCGATCACAATCACACGCTTTTCGATCACACGTATTTTCTCGATCTGTGCATAGAATTCCGCCATTTGATAATCCTGTCCAATCATAGGTGACAAGCTTTGGTGAACAACCAAAAAATCCACCTGATATACGATCATAACATTGATCATGCAATTGACAACATTGATCTGTACTATCGAATACTTTCGAACCATAGTTACCCAAGCCACACCTATGAAAGAATCATTCTATTGCGTTTTAATAAATAGACAAAATCAACATACCAACAACCATAGCCAATATAATCAAGTGAACTGAAACCTTTATGATTGATCATATGTTTCAATTGAATAAGATTTCGCTGTGGTATTCCTGCATATGTTGTCGCTAATAGAGAGAAAACAAGCACTAAAATAATATTCGCTGCCATCCTTATTCTGTACAGTCGAAGGTACGCGTTTGTATTTATAAAAGACATAATATAATAAATTTTTATTAGGAATAATCAAAATGTCAAAGATTAAAAGTTGAGATATACGAGTGTTTGTGACAAAGTATCATTCTCCCTACTTATTATGCTCCGAATAATTGTCATGCAGACTCATATGTTTGCCATTTGATTTACGAGATTGATTTATTGTTTTCTGATGCAGCTAGGAGGCTCATATTCATGTAGTCATTCAATTTGTTATCTAACTACATGAATGTTTTTATCGTCTTGATAAAAACAACAAAAAGATTTTTATTTCTGACCCTATGGTTGTGAACTTATTATTTGATTGGTCAAAACACGAATTTTAAATATTTTATAGATGGATACAAAGAAACTGATATTATGCAATCAGTTAGCTGAGTGAGAATAGACGCGTAAAAATGAGACTAAAGAGAAGATCTTCACTCATCATTACATTCATACCTTTTATAGGCTTATCGATTAGTTTAAACTATTATCTGCCAAAGGTTATATTGTCGTTTCAAGTATCACAATCATGAATGACTTCAGCATTTGTGCATATAGAGGAAGCTTAAAAATGAAAAAAAAAAGTACTCAGTTACATTGAATCATATGATACGCATGGCACATTTACTTTGTTTTAAAATAATGGATATCATATTTTTTTACTGATAATAACGCGACTTCATCCATTTTATTTTTTCCTGGTTTCAACTGAGAGCATTTGTTATGATAATAATTTTCAATTACCTGAAGGAACGAAAAGAAGATAAGAAAAACGTTAAGTATGAAGATTCTTGCCAATTCTTTTAGACCGATCTATTGGTTTACTTAAATAATAAATGATGATCAATGTTTCGCTCGAGAAATCTTTGTATCATCATATTTTCAACGAGAGTATATCTCAAATGAATAAAACCCTCATTAACTGAATGAAGAATACAGTACTTCCATCGTTGATCAACGAAGATTTACAGCATACAATTCATGTTCATAGATAGTAAAATGAATTTTATTAATGTCAATCTAAATCGAGCAGTGAGTCGTTATTTCAAAGTGCTATTTTCATTTATTCATGACTATAGATAATATTTTTACTTTTCAATATTGATAATTGTGAACGAGAGCATCATCAAACATGTTCTACTCAATTTACTTCAATTATGGAAAAGAATATGTTCGAGTAGTACTTCAAAAAAAAACCAATAGTTTGATGAAAACAGTCGAGAACTACGTATATTTGATAGTCGTGCATACAATGTATCCTTGAAATTTTTTTTCATAAATGTGTCTCGAATGGTTAATTTCTTCCTTTTCATTTTCGATAGTTTGATTTTGATGTTTATGGAAAACATGAGCTGTTGTGAGATATGAAGAAGATAGTTGCCATATTTAATGCAATTCGACTTCTAACCACTCTTTAAAACAAAAGGGTTCAGAAACAGAACAAATTTCTGCTTTAGGAAAAAATAACCAGCTTCATTGACGAAATCAACTACAAAGCTTCCACTTTTTTTTTTCTTATTTTTATTGGTAGTGATATAAGCAGAAAAATATTCTAGGTAAGTGTCGAACATCTGTTCATGCCACTATTAAAGTTTAAAAGTATCAAAGAATTACTAGAGCACATAGAAGAGAATAAAATTAGCTTTTCATAATGCTGAGAGATGTACTCTAGTTCAAGCTAGGAATTCCTCCTTCGAGGAAGCCTGCCTTTAAGAGGAGCACAACAGTAAGCAAGAAATGTGCAGCCAGCGACCGTTGGTGTGATTTGGGGTGGTCACTCAAGAAACAGGTGATAAGAGAGGATTGAAGTAGTCAAACAAAGTAGAACACTTTTTTTGATAATCCTTGAACTGATTAGGCGTAGGTGCAGATGTGGGATGCGATGGGTGCGTGGGCATGAATCTGAGCGAGGCTCTTTTCGTTACTAAAAGCTACGCCCGCTCTGTTGATATGTTACATAGAAACTGTATTCATGTCGATAAAAATCTACTTTCATCATAGTGTCTTTGTTTGAACTTGACATACTTCGTGGTTAAGATGGTAGATAAATAGTATCTATGATTCAAACATGTTATTACATATCTTAGCTATATGTGAAGGGTATATTCATATTTATCATAGTTATTTATCTTGCACACATGCACATACGCATTGATAACTGATAACTAGAATTGAAAAAGAGAAACACTAGACGAGTTTGTTAAATTTTCTATGAGTATGAATATCCTCAATGCATATACCATACAATTGACTCAGTAAAGATCAATTTCGAGTAGAAATCGGTTGGAACAATGACCCCGTGTAACTTAGGAACTAAAATCTTCATGAAGTTTGACGCTTTTCAATAGTGCCTTTTCTATATTTCTACAATTGAGTTAAGCTATTCTCATAAAGCGACGTGTTAGTTTTATTTCTGTCTAAAATTTCAAAAAAGAACACACATGAAAACTCTTGAATAAGAAAGCGTCAATGAAACGTCCATATTTCAGTTTAGTACTCATGTTTTTGTACTATTTGTACTGTATAATCCCGTGCTTCACCATAACCAGTGTTTTGGCACGGATTACGATATCTTTCATCTTGTACCAGAACAATTCTCATTCGATGTTGTCCACCGACATTATATCTACCATCAATTTGGGGAATGGTAAAACTTATATCATTCTGGGTCATTCGAGGATCATCTCGATACCAATTATTAGGAATTAATCGTTCTATATTGTCATCAAATGTACCATCATTATTGAAATCTATCCACATACCAAGATAGCGAGCATTGCGACAATTTCTTCCGAATACAGATGGATCTTGACTATAAGTGTTACCATAGCCTGATTGTTCGACACAAGATAATTCGATGTGAAGAGTATAAGCCGTATTATCAAATAATGTCACAGCTAGATTGCTTCGATCAACATAATTATTGGTTGAGCTACATGTTTTTGTATCATCCCGGATCTCTGTATTGTCCTCACCCGATATACTTACCGAAAAAATAGCAGTATTGCCTACTGAACATATTAAATTACCAGAAGAGCAATGTGTACCTACGTAGCCTAAACGAGAGAATACACCATATTGTAATAAAAAATAAACAAAATTGATGAAATGATTTTTCCCATGTGTATGAGAGACGGACACTAGTTTTGGCGGCATCTTTACAATCGTAGTCGTGTGATTCATGAAATTTGCTTGTCACTTCATAAAAAAACCTATGAACTTGATTTTGTTTTAAATACATTTCGAATTTTTTTCTATTTCTATACGGTCGCGTTCATGGTAAGGTATATAATTTTACTTGGAGTTTTTTTTTAGATTTCACTATAAATTAGAATTCTATCACAAAATACCGAATTAATTACAGTAAAATTGAATAGAAATAATTCAATCTTTTATTTTTCCAAAATTTTTTTTTTCATCACTGATGTCTAGAAAATTTGTATCCGATTAAAACGAGCTAAACACAAAAATTAACTGACAATAATAAAAACTTAAAATAATCATTTTGTTTACATCATAATTGAAGTTATTTTCAATCATAAATTTTCGAAATATAAATTGAAAAATAAACTGAACTCTATATAATCTACATATTTTCAAATTCATCACGAGAATACGTATTTAGACTGAAATGTCATTATAGTAAATTTTTAAATTAAATTATTTCTATTCATTTTGCCACCTAATAAATTATAAAGAACATTCATAAACAATTTTTGCTAGAAAACAGTCAAAATACTTTGTATTTTCATGAGTCTTTGTGATTTGATATAGATTTGTACTTTCAGTATAAAAAAAAAAAAAAGTATAAATTTTTCCTTTCCAAAAAGCTACTCGATAAACTTTGTGATACGGAGCAAAAAGAAATTTTCAAAGTTTTACATCGAATATAATAAAATATAGAAAAGTATAGATTTGTTATAGACGTTGAAAACATTACGGAATAGTCAATTCACTTTTCTTCAACTAATTTCAATTATATATCAACCGAATAAGTGCTATTTTGTCATTCAGATTGTCTAAAATAATATTTGTCTGTGGTTTAATTGTAGTTTGCCATCAGAGGACCTATCTAATGTTGGATCAAATGTTCGAATCCATGTTTGCTCTCATTTTTTTTGTTTTTCTCCTGACTAATCTGGAGGAAATGGACAGAAAAAACAGACTATACATGACGGATCCAAAGACGTTTCAGATTAACCTATATGTGGTTGAATGACATTTCTCGAAAACATAACTGCTGCTAAAGGATATGCAAGATGTTTCTGACTAGACCTAATAGGTAATGTGAACATTTTAGACTAGCTTTGAACGACGTCTTCACTTATTTTTTGTTTACCTCTATTATCTACACGATATGTATCAGGAGCAACATATGTATCAGGGGCAACATATGTATCAGGAGCAACATATGTATCAGCGGCAACATATATATGAGGACCACCATATGTTTCCTTTGGAATGATGTTGACGGTGTACTCTCGTGTTTCACTGTAATCAGATCTGCCACATAATCGAACATACTCATCACTTGCTTTCACAACAACGCGCATGATATGTGATCCATCTTTCGTAGTTACTCGATCGATACTGGGTACAGGAATTTCCAAATCATAAATTCCTACTGTCATTGTACTACGCAGTGGCCATCGATTTGGGGTGCGACTTTCTGATTCGTCAAATCTGCCGTCGTTATTTAGATCAATATAAACATTTACATCATAAGCAAGGTTGCATTGGATCTTAAATGGAGCTCTACTAGAGCGACGGTCGCAGTCTAATTGAATACGTATTCGATAGATGGTATTTTCAAATAATGTAACAGCCATATGGTGTCGATTTTGTTCCGGTCTGATGACAGTATTTATTGGTGTATCATCTCGAATATGAGATCCTTTTTCACCAGCCATTATAACAAGTACAATTTTGCCATGAGTTTTAGTACATACATTGCTCGGTAATGTCAAATACGGGCCTCCAATATCGACTAGAAATAATAAAAATGCACAAAAATAAGTATTCTGTATGAATTCAATTGAGAGAACAATGTAGTATATCATATCATAGAAATTTTAGGACCTGCACCGATACAGGGCTCGTTCATCAAAATAATCATTTTCAATTTAGAGTTAATGAGAATATATTTGAAATTATCTAACAATTGCATAATTCAACTAGATCAATGAGAAGCATTACAATGCATCTATCCTTTCGTTATATAACGCAACTTCGAATTTCTTTGACAAACTGAAACAAAAAGAATAAACGGTTTATGTACACTCATAAACAATGTTATATTTCTAGTATTCTTTTTTCTAGTTATTCATGATATCATATTCATAGTCGTATAGTTCGATTGTTCGATCATATCTAGTCATATATTCATATGAGCAGAAATAAAAGAATAAAATCAAAAGCATACACTTATAAATTTTTTTTTCTTTCTCATATAAAGTGACTCCATTATTTGGAAGAACACTTTTATGAATATATTAACTTCAGAGTAAAAAACAAAGATTCTCCTTTCTTTTTTTCGTGATATTTTCATTGATGACTATAAATGAAAAATAAGAAACATTTGGTAGAGAATATATTACTAGTATTTTTCTTTTTGAGGAATTCAATAGTTACAGTTAGATTACGAATGAATTTGATCTAGAGAAAATCCGTAGTATTTGTTCCTTGAAAAATTGTTAATATCGATGTCTAGAAGAAAATTAGGTGGAAATTCTATCAGAAATACTAAGCTTTTATACAAAAGCATATTATTCTCTCAAAATTTTATGTATAAATAATATTATTAGAATATATGGAGATACTATTTCTCGATGTCTATTCCCAGGATAATTTACTCATTAATGATTCTTATCGAAAATATACATGCATTTGACAGCAGCGTTCATTTTTTAAAATTTGAATATAAAAATGGTATCGAAAAAAATTGTTCATGATAAAAATGGTCAAGTCATACTTATAAGATTCAATGTCTCTAGAGATATAATAGAAGAAAACATATTTACCTGTTTGCTTCATATTCTTTTTAACAATAGTAACATTATATTCTCGTGTTTCTCTATAATAATTCTTGCCACATTTTTGACGATACTGTTCATTTAAGGTTACATCAAGACGCATTCGATGGGGTCCACTTTTTGTTCTCGCTCCATCGATATCAGGAACATATATTTGTAGATCATAGATGCCTTGTGGCACATAGCTAGTGAGTGGCCAGCGATGAGGAGCTGCATTTTCCGTATCGCTAAATTTACCGTCATCATTTAAATCGATCCATGCAGCTACATCATGAGGCAGGTTACAGTTGTTTCCAACTGAATCTCTGTCTTGTGTTCCAGTGCATTCTAATTGGATGCGTAGAAGATAGACGGTATCTTCATATAGTACAATAGCTAGATGTTGATAATTTGGAGTCTTGCCGGTCAATGCAGCTCTAGTTGATTCATCATCTCGAATTTGTGTTCGATGTTCACCAGCCATCACAACAAGAATGAGTTTGCCAACATCAGGAGAGCATGGCACATTGTGCGGTACCACAGAAGTTGGAGTAGCATCGAGTGCTGCAAAAAAACCAATTCACAAAATAAATTATTTCGTTTTAATCAATATGCAAAACATTAATAATGTCTCGTGCTGAATTCAGTTTAACATTTTTCTTATGTGATACAACTTGAACTTTTCAAGAGTAAATAATAATTGAAACAAATTAGAATCTACATCCACTCACTGAAATACTTATTTATGTGGGTGTATAAGATTCTATTTGATTGATTGTGACAAACAAACAACATTGTGCACAAAAACAAATGTGATGATACGACTATCTTACTCAAATGTTTATGAAAAAGTTACAGCTAAAATCATGATGAATCAATATTATTAGAAATAAACTTGCTTACAACAATCTTACATTGTCAAAAGTCCAAAAATCATACAGTCTTCTAGAAATATATCAGTGTAAAGAACATTTCATAGGCCAATATCTATGTACAGAAGTGTTCTATGGCAACAGTTCATATGGAATGATGAATGCTTACAAATGATGTAATCAGTACTGTAGATCACAGAAGACGTTATCGTTTTCGGTTTTGAAATTATTCAAAAAACTAGAATCTAACTCTGAAAACTTCGACACATATATTTACAATGATATTCTCTGTAAAAATGTAAATGTCTTCATGGATCATATCAATCGAAAACTGAGTGAGTTCTATTTAAGTTTTCTTTCCATTTTACGAGTCAATATAGTGCAATTTGAGAAAAATGATACTAAATTATTCATAAGACTGAAAAAAAAGCCTGAAAGATTGCTTTTTAAGGAATTTCAACATCCAATGTGTACATCATTTGAGGAAAAATCTAAAGCATGTTTTCCTAGAAAAAAGTGTCAGTGAAATTAATCAAAGAGTCAAAAATATGGATGTCACGAGGTTTATCTGCCCATACAACAAGTACTTTGTTGTTCTTTATGAATGATTAGTAATCAGTTTAATCGAATACTCTACTAGACTTTTTTTGCGAATATTCTTTAAAATAGTATTCTATATCTCTTTGACAGTTCTGAGAAGTTAAAGGCTTTTACTAACATATTTCTCATTTCAGGTAAGATTTAGGAAAATACTTGAAAAAAAATGCAACAGACATATATTTAACTTTGGTTAAAAATGGATTATTTTCTTAAATATTCAGGGACATAAGTAATAATCAATAAATACTGCTAGTGTTTGTCTCTTCATAGAAAGCTAAAACAAATTATTTCAACTCTTTTTCATTTACGATTATAAGAGAAAACGATTCACTAATAAATAGAAAAATACTTACAAGAATATTTCATTCTTGGAACAATGGTCACCATATATTCTCGTGATTCGTTGTAATCATAATAGCCGCAAACACCTCGATAATGCTCACTGGGTACGACAGAGATACGCATTCTATGTGGTCCATTTTTCATATATCTGTTACCGATTAATGGCACATATATTTGTATATCATAAATACCTTCGGCCATATAACTGGTTACTGGCCAACGATAAGGTGCGCCGATTTCTGAATCATCGAATCTTCCATCATCATTGATATCAATCCAAACATTGACATCTTGAGCGAGATTACAACCTGTTGGAGTTAAATCAGTTCTCAATTGCGAAGAACAATCCAATTGGATGCGCAGCAAATAGACAGTGTGCTCAAAAAGTGTAACAGCCATGTGGTGTTGATTTAAATAATTACTTGCTAATGAAGTTGTTGGTTTATCATCACGGATTTCCGTTCCTTTCTCGCCGGCCATTATAACAAGATTGATTCTAGCGATGCTTAGAGGACAGACAAACGGTGTTGTTGGGGGAGCTACAATTAAAAAACATTCTCAATAAATATTTAGGAAGTTTTTTCAATACAAATGGTCAAACATGTGCTGTCACGATACAACATATGTAATCAGCAAACAAAAAACAATGATTTACCTGTATATCGCACTCTTGGAATAACATCGACAGTGTATTCTCGTGTTTCTCTATATGGAAAACTGCCACATTCTCTTTGATACTCTTCACTTGGCATTACCGTAACGATCATGCGATGGGGTCCGGCTTTCGTAGCTCGGTCGTCAATTCTAGGTATAATTACGTCCAAATTGTATATGCCTGTAGGTATGTCATTGCTTGACCAAGCGCGCTGCAGAAGTCGACTTTCTGATTCATCCAATCCATTATCGTTAAAATCTACCCAGCCAGTCACACTTAGAGAACGGCTACAGGGACTGTCAAGTGGATCTCCACTCAATTGTCCGCCGCAATCGAGCTGGACATGTAATCGATAGGTTCCGTCTTCATATACTGTAGCAGTGAGATATGGACGATTGTTTGAAAGGGAACTTGTTCGTACGTCATCTTCAATACGTGACCCATGTTCACCAGGCATTTGGACAAGACCGATTTTGTTAATACAAAGAGCACATCGAGCCTTCTGTGATGCTGAATATGGTGTGGCGACAGCACGCGGCACTAATAAAAATGTACAGAATGGATTATTTGATTTTCATTAATTTTAAATGCCATCATCTACAGGTTGATTACGTTATTTTTAATAGTT